CTACCCAAGGTACATATACACCAAACATCAAAACATTCAGGCTTGTAGTTTTCAAGAAGAAGTCGAAAAAGTAAAACATTGACACAGACAACGACGGACAATCACTCGTATGATAAGCTCCGCTCGACAAAGTCGACAGCGGAGCTAATTAAAACTTAGTTACATCTCAGTTTGTACTCATTGATCTACGAAGCAGCCAAAGTTGCCATCTTTATTTATATGAGACAATATATTGTGTGCATGCTTGGCGCGACGACTACCGCATTATAACATAAACTAAAGTTGGCAAACTTCACCACAATTTATAATTTTTAATATCAAGTGAACATGCACATTATGTGCACCTAGCTAAATTAGCTAGTAGCAGAGAGAAGCAGTGCTGAAGAGCGCCCTCATTCATACAGTAAATACATGCTCAATAGAGGGCGCTTTTCAGCAAAGTTAGGCATGCTGACTGACTATCTCATATACTGTAAAACCATTTATTTTTACTAGTATTTAATTTCTCTAATTTCAGCATTTTCAGTGTTTAAATTTTACAAATTTGGCAGAAAAAAATTAGTTTTATTGTTATTTAACATGTTCATGTAGATTTATTATAGCAGATTTTACTCAGAAAAAACAGCGAAATTAAACCCAGTGAATAATTAATGCATTTACAGTATTCCTAGAAACAGAAAATTTGAATTGAATATTTATTGTTAATATTACAGATTCATTGAAAAATGAAGTAATGCTGCATTGCAAAAATAATTATAACAAACTAAATAATAAGAAATAACTATAAATTACCTTTTGTGTACTTGCGTTTGGGTAAGTTTATGTTGCCTACTGCTCGGTGAACCAGATTCCTGAGATGACCCACTTTTGTGTGCAAGGCTCATACGTCTTTCCATTCGCTCTAGTCTGCATTTCAACTGCAAAGCAGAAAACAAATGCATATGATTAGTTAACGAATGAACTGCATGCATGGTGGTACTCCCAAGATGCATCACTTCCTAAATCAACAACTTCCTGTTGTGAGAGACGCACATAATTATGACACCATGTAAACATTCCTCGTTACAGGACACACTTCTTTGTATCATTAGACCCTTCATCTGTGGTATCTCTAAGCAGGACAAATCATCTTTTGCTCAAAGATGTTTTTCTATTCAAGTAGTCAAGTGTCATTTTTAATTTTATTAATTGCGAAAACACGCACGAAGGATGACATAATGATGACATCATCTGCCCTACAACACACAATCGATTGTACTAGCAGCAGGAAGTCAATTAATCACAAGGCTTCATTGAAAGAAGTTAAACTAAATTTGATCAATAATCCTTTTAAATTTCTCTTTGATTAAGCTGCATAGATGAGATGCCCATCCTTTTTAAATGGTTACCCACCCTTGGTGGATATTGGTCGAATCCAGTGACCCACATGATCAATGACCCATTTGAACTTTATACTGTACAAATCAGGTGGTGCATGATGGGAGAAAATACCGGTAAATGTATACCAACGCATCAACAAAGCTCGCCTTCAACTAGACACCGCCGAACGGCAGGAAAATAAATTGACGTACACACTATTACTCCCAAAGGACGCCTTAAAGCAGCATTAAATACTATTTTAGTAAAAGAATAGTCAAGACTGTTGACGGCATTATCAAACGAAGAAATATATTTTTTTTTTTGGCAAACGGCCGTCGTCTCAGCGGAAGTGTTAAGATATAAACCGGAAGTAATTCTCAGTCACAAACAAAGCTACATCCCACAGTCAGAGCAGTCATTTCGTTTAAAAAACAACTATCATTCTTTGTAACAGACTTAATAAGATTGTCGACGACATGCCAAATACACTATGTGATATGTCTGTAACAGGAAAAACACACCGCGAAAGATACCCGCCATGTTGAATAAAGGCAAGAGGTCAACGATTCGTTTACAAAAGCCAACTTATTATGCAAACTTTCAGCGGCTTTCAAAAACTGTCAAGGACGACAATGGCGCTGAACTTGACACGGCTAAGAATGTTATTGAATTAGTGGATTTAAATAATAAATTAAAATATACTCAACGAACCGTTTCTTTTTCGCTCCGAAGGTTTTTATTCTCTCGATCTTTGGCGAGTAATTGCTCCTGTTGTTGTTGTATGATATCGAGATGGAGTAGCAACAATTCTTTCAAGTGTTTAATTTGTGATTCCATGCGAGTTCTCTCCTCATCATCATATAAGCTACGATCGTTTGTCGACTTCGGCGTTCCCTTTGCTACACACAATTCCTTCAAATTTGAAATGTCCTGGGTAAACGCCTTGCTGTTAGTGTTATTGTCACTGTGATTTGAATGCTGCACACTGGACGGCATTTCGCCCAAAACCGCTGAGTTTCTAGACATATTCTTACGAAGTAATCCCTGCCGACCGTCGATCTTCATGCGTTGGGGTCCTATGATATCCGATTTCATGTTTCCCGGGGCCATGAAGAAAGAAACAACCAACTGCACACCTGAATATTTATCAAATCAATACACTAAACAAGAACTCGCCATTGTGGTACATTAGACGTACAGCAAACACGTGACAAGTTCGGCCTCATGAATATTCAACTAGACAGGCTTGTTCGCGAGACAATATATTATGTTGAAAGGTTTTGATTTTTTAAGAGGTAAATTGACACATTTTCTTTAGTTTGAAGTAATGTAAATCAGTAATTCACAATTATAGACACTGAAAAACTTTTAATACATTAACATATACATATATTCGTTCTGTAAAAATAACGTCGCGCAAATATAGAACCGTAAAACGATCTAACATTAGAGACACTGCAACGATCTTGAAATTGTTAATTCGTCGTAGATGACAACAGACAATGATTGGAGTTGATATGTAAATAGTAAATGTTACCAAACACATAAATTAAAATGCAAAATAAGCACACACCTAGTCAAACTATTCAAATATTAAGCTTTGACGTATCTCACCATGGTTGTCTCTGTGGCGCAATCGGTTAGCGCGTTCGGCTGTTAACCGAAAGGTTGGTGGTTCGAGCCCACCCAGGGACGCCAATATTTTTTTTTACTTTCTAAAGTTAAAGTAGTGTGAATAGGCTTGATAAGTTATCACCTTTTGTTCCAATGAACGAAATTCCCTATCATTTTAAATCCCGAGGCAGTGTGAATGTTTTCAGGTTATCACCTATGACAATGTTGCTATTCGCCATTGTGTAACACCCCGTCTGTCACTGTTAATCACGTGTTAATCTCTGGGATTTGTGATTGGCGGAGTTGAGTTCGATCACGGTTCGATTCGGACATAGCAATCTCACAACGCAGAATGATTTTGAATTGCGATATGGTCTGCAATTACACCGAAATATACGATATGTTGCTTGTCTGTACATGTATAACTTTTTAGTTTTTGTTATAAATTTATTGTAGCAGCGAACAACAGATTCAAATATCAAGATGTAATAAAACATTAGTATGAACCTTGACATCTTATTACCAATTACTATTTTTAAAATTCCATTAAATTATAAATAATAAATGACAGTTAAATTAAATATGCGAAGAATAATAAAATACATATTTAAAATAATCAAAACAACTGGGATATTATTCTAATCAGATACATACAGCTGAGGCTATGTCTGAAATACATTGGCCAAGTACACTCACTTATTATCCTACTTTTAGGATATTTATTAATAATGGCATTTTTAAAAATAACCCAGAAATTTGCATGCTTGTGGGTTTTTTACATAATTCATCATTATCTTTGATTTGGAAACAATTCGAATAAAGCCTAGAGTGGAATTGCCGGAAACCTCGGAAACATTGAAACCTCGGAAACAGAAAAAGTTGAAATTGGCAGTGACCAAAATTGAAAAAAAAATGAAAAAATAAGTTAAGGGTTAGTGGGGTTAGGGTTCCTCCAATGTCGTCCGTGATCATAATGCAATATACAATATACTCTTGGGGCGTCAAATGTCATAGAAAGTCAAAATGGCCGCTGACGATATTTCATCACCCGCTGATTGGCTGCCTGACTACATGACCTTTGATAAACTCAAGCGAGTATCCCCCGGGATTTTCTGAATTTCGTTTGTAGAAAAGTCTTGAATATTTTAATGATTTAAATGTTTTAAATTGATTGAATTTGAATTTGATCCTATATCTTTCCATGTTCCCGATGTTTCCGGCAATTCCAAAAGGGATATCTTGGGTCTGGGTTCAGTTAGAACGGTGAAAAAGGGTGGAATTTACCACGCTTTTCAGACTGTAGTTGTATTCACTAACATTATTGTATTATCTTTAATATGCACCTAGGGCAGAGGGGCGGTCGCCCCCTCAAAAAAATGTTCAAGCTGAAACTCTAGGGTGTCAGCAAAATTTGCCTCTAAAAATGCAGGAAATAGCGTTTCTATTTTTATAATTTTTTAGGAGGGAGCATGCCCCCCCCCCATTAGGTCGGTGGTAGTAAGCAGATCTTGCCCCTCCATGCAAAATGTTGTACCGCCGCCTCTGTAACATGAACAAATACAGTGTTAAATGAATTAAACAGTTTTGCATTAGTGTCTTATATCCCGTAATAGCGATCATTACTGTATAAGTATGACATTAGAAATACACGATAATCTTGAAATAAAAGAACTATCACCATAATAAATTATATTTTAGTGTGTGCATGCAGTATCGCTGTTGAGAACTGAGATTGATTATGATTTATCGTCAACCAAAATGTTGTTTTTGCAGCAAACAGTATTGTTTCGTTTGATGAAAAATTAAAAAAAAAACACCAATACGCATGTTAACAATAAGCGCATGCGCATTTAGCGAATGTTATGTTTTATCGATAGATTGCCGTTTTATGGTTATGGAACAGCGTGTTTAAATATATCCTATTTCAACTAACTTTTTCACCAACACAAGAAATCAAACAACGTTATTAAAAAGTAAATGCGTTCATGTATCTTTAATTCCATGTGGATTTTTGTCCGAATAGAAGAAAACGGTTTTTGCGGTTCAAAACGGTCTAGATTTCAAAACTTGTAAGGAGGTGCATGCTTGGACCTCCTAGTAAGGTCGAGCCTTCGGCGCGAGGTTGGTGAGCAGACCCCCCCCCCCATGCAAAATTTCGTGCCGCCACCTCTGTGTAACAAACCGAGAAAGATAATTGCATGCATGGTTTGCTGCGAAAAATCGTTTCGTGTGGTATCGCTATGTTTTTAAAGCATGTGTCAATATAATAATTCTTTGCGACTGAGTATGAAATTACAGTTACAAATATTTGATATGATACAATTCTTCATCAATCAACATATTTACCAGGTCTATATTATAGATTCGTAACATTACATTTCAATACAACAATAACTTTACGGTTGCATGTAATTTTCGAACACAACTACTAAACTCACGAAAAAGATCAAAATGTGAATTATTATGGGTTGCGTAATACCTTTAATCATGTAAATGTCCTAGAATACATTTTACCGGTGATCCCAAGAAAATCCGAAATGATCCTTTTGTGGTAATCAGTCCGAAATCCAAAAACATTCAAATGTGCAATACAATGCGGTACTGAAACTTAGTTGATATAACAAATAGAGAAAAATTGTTGCATCGCTCAAACACCCAGACGGAATTGTCCCGTTTATTCTATTTCAAAAAACACTTTCAATGTCGAATCCCCCCCCGGGGGGGGGCATTTGATACATAGCTGGGTAAGGAGGTGCCCCTGAGTGATCAAAAGTGTGACCATTTTTATACCTGGATAGTGGCAAAATCTATACCAATATTTATACCAAAGTACCATTTCATCACCGTTTATTCCAAATAAAACGGTTACCGTATTTGCTCTATATTTCACTGAGGAATGTGCGCCCTCTTCTATTCCGTGTTAAATCTCCGTTTAAATGTTGATTGCCTTGTTTAGTTTGCAGGTTGAGGTATATATAGATCTGAGGCCGGGATCTGAGGTGGGGATATTTGCTCATGTACGGACCCGTAAATATACCAAATAGAAAAAATATTACCGATATTTATACCTATCTTGACCAGAAATAAGACCGATACATAAGGAGACCCATTTAAGGGCAACTCCCCATGAGACAAGTCATATGTACCCCCCCCCCCCGTCGAATCAAACGTACTTTTATTTTGTCTAAAGGTCGCTGTATCTTTGCTTCAGACAAGTACACAATCTGTTAAATGTCACTCACATTGAAGTGCTTTATGTATATGTGTCGCCAAAAGGGGTTAAAAATTCACCACTTCTGTCTGAAAAGGGGTACGTTATTTTGCCGTCTGTCTGAAAGGGGGTATCCTTTTTTCATTATTTCTGTCTGAAAAGGAGTTCACATTTTCCAAAGACTGTCTCTAGTGCTTGAGTGATCCAACAATCAGGAGAATTCAAGTCCACCTGCTTTTCCCTTTGTACCGTTTAAGCTTACTGTCTGGAAAAAGGTGTCAAATATCCACAGTTTGTCTGAAAAGGGGGAGGCAATTTGAGTTTATTTCTGTCTGATGAGGGGTAGGGGTTTCAAACAACCAGATACACACCCCTATTAGTATTTTTCGCAAGTACCCCCCCCCCCTCGTGGGCTATCATCCCACACCCCCGATTGTGCATTCGACTGAAGCTAAGCACATCGATCTCTGTATAAAACAAAACACGTTCGGGATAAGATACTAGTAATCAGGCACAGGCAATACTATGATCCAATGAGCGCCAACACATCTAAAAAAAGTCCATCACCAATGGGTCATACCTTTACAGCAATATCTCACTATATCCTGTCTGTATTGAGATACACATTCGTCAGCTCATTCGTAATGCGCAAGCCTTAAGTACAAACCCAGACTTTTTAAATAGACATTGCCTTCTTTCGTCCACACATCCAAACCAAGGATTCTTTAGAAAACGACTAGCCTTAACATTCAAAAGTTTTTTTTTTGGCAGATACAATTAGCCTATTGCTAAAGACAGTAACACTCAGGCTGAGACAGTTGGCATCAATATCACCTGACTGATGCGGGAGGGTCTTCACCTGCACACGCGCGGGTCCCAAGCGACGATAACAACACGCTAAAATGCAAAGGCTCGTGGGTAGACACTTGTTTGTAAACAATGACACGCTGTGGCCATCTGACGCATGCGCAGGTGACGACTTCCCCCGCTTTAAGTTATGATACATGGCGGGCGCCACATTTGGGGAAGGAGGTGCTCACTCTTATCGAAACACCTGACATCACTTCCTGTATACCGTGAAAATCCATATTTTTTTACTGATTCGACCATGTTGTGCAGTGTTATATGTCAGTTGTTTTGCCGATTGTTACCAGTCGTTGGTTTTGTGTTTTTGAACTTTCTTATACAACTTTTGTACAAAAATCGATGGTTGGGCATGTTATTCACCACTTTGCTACGTCAGAACATTGACATTTGAATGCGGGAAAATTGTTTGTAAAGTTCAGTTGAGGAGATGAAAACGTTTTGTGCAAATTTTAAAAAAATCCGCTATTTTTAAAATTCCAAAACGTCTTTGAGAAGTCAAGAATGTTGTCTGCAAAGGTGAAAAACTTGCTTTGAAATTCGGAGAAGGGGTATTAAAAGTTCAGATAATGAATATAGAAAACAATAAAGTCGTCTGCAAAGTTAGTAAGACTGGTCAGTAAGGCGGGAAAATGGGTTCAAAACTTTGGAAAGTCTACAAAGTATGTAATCTTACGTTAGAAAGATTTTGAAAATTACTAAATTTCGTTTAAAATATTTAGAATGTCGTCTACAAATTTGAAAAAAAGATGATTTGAACGGCAGTATATTTTTTTCAGAATAGTTCAGAATATAAATTAATAAGACAGAATAGTTGTCTATTGAAAACATTGTATTAGAAGGCAGGAATTTGTTGAATGCAGGCAGAGGGATGAAAAAATCATCCGCGAAGTTCAAAAAGTTGCTTTAGAAGGCGAGATAGATAGCAACGTCGTGTATTAGATGTAAAATGCAAAACGTATATAGAGAAGCCAAGAAAGTCTACTGCAGACTTAGAAACGTTATTTTGAGAAAGTCTGGAGAGTTTTCTGAAGACTTCGGGAATTTCAAAGTAAGTTATTAAGTCATCGTCTCAGAAAATCGCTCAAAACGTTTGGTAAGTAAAATGGGAGAAGGAAAATCTGTCCATAAAGTCGTAAATATGATTTAGATAGTGTAAAAATAGTTAGAGTCACAAAAGTCGTGAGTTGGAAAAAATCCATTAGATGGCGGAAAAGACAGAAATGAAGACAAGAGTTGACAAGAAGGTCGTCTACATTGTTGGAAATGTTGCTTTGGAAAACGAGAAAAATGAAGCTTTGCAAGTAAAACTTAAGCATTAATGTAAGATTATATTAGAATGTGTTTTGAAAAGTCATTTGAGAGATGAGACAAGCAATCTGATGGTCGAATTAACTCCGCTGTCTTACAAGAACTTTATGGTAGCAAATTTAAATACTAGTAGTGTTCAAGATAATGTTGAATACATGTATAGCATTTCAAAAATATTTAGAAGAGAATTTAGGATATAGTCACAAAATAAACAAGTCATTGAAAAAGTCCCCGCTGAATTTTTGAAAGTTCTCTTCGTGCTCGTCATATTAAAGTGGAGGGGTTGTCGCGAGCTAGTCCTTGAAACTTGAGTCCCAAGTGGCGTATACAACGTATTGTTTATTTACATCAACACGTGTTGCGTGACGACCCCTCCGGTTTAAGCAAAGACATTGGTTTAAGACATAGCAATGAAAAACATAGATCACGAGTGAAGGCATGTCCAAGTTATCACATTTTAAACAAATAAGATGGCCGCCAGTCGGCCATATTTGACATGTATATGTATCCATTTATGACATACTAAATATCAATGAAAATGATACATGGGTGACAGAGATATAATAATATGGCCAAAAATAAAAACAGCCCTTATTCGGGCATCTTCGATCTGATTATGAAACAAAGTGACATGATGTATGTGTCAAATACGAATGAAAATGGTACATAAATCTTGGAAATATAGTAGTAACGCCAACAATTCAGATGGCTGTCAATCAAATTTGAAACAAATCATCATGGACATGTATCCTAACATGTATAAAGTATGTGCCAAATTTGAATAAAAACTGAAAAAGCATGTCCAAGATACCACATTTGAAAAAACAAACAAGATGCCTGCCAGTCGGCCATTTTGAATCAAAACGATAAACCACTGCATGTGCATATGTCCCACATAAAGTACTAGGCACATGCAAAGAATGAACAGAACCGGTCCAAAAGATTCTGAAATATGACACCGGATGGATGGACGCACGACCGGACGCACAGATGGATGGATGCACGGACGGTCGGAGGACATGTATCCTAACATGTATAATCTATGTACCAAATTTGAATGAAAACTGATAAAGCATGTCCAAAATACGACATTTTTAAAAAACAAGATGGCTGCCATTCGGCCATTTTGAATCGAATCGCTAAACCACTGCATGTGCATATGTCCTACATAAAGTACTAGGCACTACCTACATACCAAGTATCAAAGACATTGACCTGATAGTTTTCATGAAGAAGTCGAAAATGCAATTGTTGATGGACGACGACGGACAATCATCTTTATGAACAGCTTCGCTCTGTCATCTGCATCAACTTTTGTGCCACGTCCCAATAAGATAGTACAATTGGTAAGGCCAAAAAAAAAAAATTTGTTTCTGTACATAGAAATTGTAGTAATATATAAAATTATTAAAAAAATTTAGACAAGCCTTTCAAACCAGAAATCTCTCAGCCGATATAGTGATGCATAATATGAAATTGATTTGGTTTGCAGAATTGAAGTGAAAAGAAAACTCTAGAAATAGGCACACAGTTAAGTATATATATATAAATATTATCAATCGCCCTATATAATGTTAGTTTCATTGAGATCTGATGTGTAATTCTCAAGACAACAAAAAATGATTAATTTATGTTAATCAGATAAATATATGCTTGAATTTCTATCCCAATTAATCACGTCTGCAGATTACCCCAGAGCAACCAAGTTTAATTATAATTTGACATGTGGATCTCGAAACATCACATTAACAGTGCATCCACAATGCAAAGCTACTTACAAAATTGAGCCTGATTGGCTACCCAAACCTAACAGTCAGAGAACAGCTTGTTTGCGTAAACATGTTTGCATAAAATTTATGTATGATAAATGTATGCCACACTGGTATTTTTTAAAACGTATGAATATTCATGAAAGCTGATGAAATTCTTAGTTTTGATTTTAAACTGAATTATGGGCGTTGAAGTAGAGTTTCAATAAAGATCATTTTTTTCAGTTTCTACCATTAAGTTTCTAGATGCTTTGCACATCCTTTCAGCACAAATGTAATTATTCATAGAATGCCTCATGACAATAAAGAGTTAGTGTGTAATTTTCTGATAGATAAATATTTGTGGACATGTATATGGCACCACCACAACATTATTAATTTGTATCTGACCATTTTCACCTAAGCAGAACTTGTGCAGTGCTGAAAACCATAATTACTTGGTTACCAGAACCAGCGTACGGATTTTAAAGCTCTACTGGAATCAAAATGGAATCCCAAAAGTTGGAAAAAACTTGGTCACTGTCTGAGAGAAATCTTCAGAGAATGCAGTCTGTCTGAACCATTTGAAGGCACAAACTGTTGTGGTACATGATTTTTTTTTATTTCTATATTTATTCCATTTACAAAATGTGAATTTGCTTTTACTAAATTACCAATTACATAATTATAGTAAGATGTTTCTTTTTAAGATCACTATCAATGTAGGATTAAGAATAACTAGTCAAGCCACAAACAAATCTGCACATTAGTAACGCGTTATATCACACCGATCAGAACCAGAAACAGTAATTTACAAAACTACGTGCCAGGGGTAAAAAGATTTTCAACTTTATTTAAATTGATGATGCCACAAAAAAAAACTGGTTGACAAAAACACAATATTGTACGGAAAACACAAATGTACAGAATGACTGAAATTACATCACATTTTGCCTATTAAAAATCCCCTCTGGTAACAATCTCTGCCCTATAACAATCAGGTCAACCATGATGATAAAAATATCATGTAAACGAGGCACATGTATAATGTTTGCTAACGCATAGTCTATAGTTAGTGATCGTTAATCAGAATCGTATACAATGATTCAAATATTAAAACTGTAAATCTATCTGCTACACCACCTTATATGTATAGGTTCATCTCCTGATCACCTTTTATTTCTACAAATGGTATAACCCATACAGTGATTATTCCAAATGACGAGTAAATAAAGGTTATACTGAGCTATGCCCCCCCCTCTCATTCAACTATAATTTTTTTGTCTACAAAATACCATTCTCACAGTTTATTATTATTCTATCTGGGCCACTATTTGTTTGAGACATTTTTTTTTAGAATATAACCACAAGAGAATTTGTTGTTGCTAGTTTATAAAATAACTGCAGAATGCTGGCTTATATATTTTAAAGTTGACCAATAAATAAAATGGCCAAGTTGAAGGAGAATGACCCAGACACAATTGATGTGAAGCATGTAATACATTTCTGACGTTGATAACAAAACACGATATGATACATTGTAATTTGTAATTCTAGTGTGAACCCCCCGTTTGTTCTTGGTAAACTTCAATCACGTCATCAGTTTCCATTTCAAGCTGAAAAACAAAGTCAAATTTCATTAATAATCATAGAAATAATTTATTTTTAACAGAATACTTATATGCATGCTGTATGTGAATCGATCTGTCACTATCGCCAAATGATTAAAACAAATATTTAACTATTTTAAATACTCTGCTACTCGTTATGAGAGATTACAGAAGCTGGATCGCATTTTGGAGGATAATGAGTTCACAAGTTTGAAAGAGCCCAGCTCAGTTTGCTGGCTATCACTGAGTAAAGCCATTTAGGGGATTGAGATATAGTTTGGCGAAGACGGACGTAACAACCCCACTGCTGATGGTTTATTAAAACAGATTGCGAAAAACAGTTTTGTGGCCAATAAGAACATGCTACTTTGCAAGCAGAGCAAATATACAAGGCTACAAAACTGAGACGGGAATTTATTCAACAGTTACGATCATAGTTTGAAGATGCATTTCTGTCTGAAGAAATTAATACAATCAATGCTTTGGATGTACTTCTCAACCAGACAGGTTTTCCTGATAATGACGGGGAACTCTGGGATTACAGAAACTATGCCTTAGAACATATTAATGTTTTGACAACAGATGTTAACAGAGTGCAACAGATGTTAACAGAGTGCAACAGATGTTAACAGAGTGCAACAGATGATCGAACCAGACCTTCTGAGATTCAAATTTACGGCTTATAAACAGGGAATGACAAATCATGGTTGACTAAATTTTACGCAAACTTGTCGTGTTTTCATAACAGAATATGAAGATTTGTTCCCGCAATTTACCACTCCAGCAGGTATAGCGCTTGTCATACCAGTGACAACCGAGCAATGTGAGCGTGGGTTCAGCACACAGAATCGTATTTCTACCGCTAGAAGAAGAAGCAGACTTACTTCTGACCATAGCGATAATTTGATGATTCTGTCCATGGAAGGATGTGACATTGAACAATTTAATTATGCAAGAGCTATTGATATATTTAAAAGCAGTGACAGACGTAAAGGTTAATTAAAACTCGCACATTATTTACCGGGATGCATTTTTGTTGTTGTATGCAATCAGGGACATGTTTTTTTTAGAAACCTAACGTGATCTCTGGAATAATCAAATATTCTCGGGAACACAGCTGTGTCACAGAATGCTATATGTTGCTAAGACGTGCAAGCACTGTACAATGCATTTCAATGGACTCTGTGAGAGCTGCTGTGGTTGAGATGAAAACAGCAAAAATCTCAACTTTGAGATAATCTTGAGCAACTCAATTTATATATGTTGTACATGTAGGAGTAAGTTTTGTTACTCTGTTCTGGAGAGTCAACAACTAGCCCAAAGTTTTTTGAGAATCCCGGGTTTTGTTTTCGCCAGGGATGGTTGCCAGGCACTTGTAAACAGAATTGATTCATATATTGAGAAAAAAAACCTTACCTCTTTTGGTGTCATATCATCGTTTATCCTCTGTCCGTCAAAAAGAAATCGAAGTGAATTCATAGGAACACCCTAGAGGGAGAAAACACAACAAAAAGTTTCAGAAAAATCAACACATATACATAAAAGATGAAATGCATGTACAGTACAGAACTATTACGTACCAGTCTTTGGCAGTATGACTCTTTTAATTTCCTCATCTGGGTTGTCATTTTTACTTTGAAATGAATCTCGCTGTTATCCTATAAATAAACAATTTGTGACATTAGTAAAATCAAAGAAAGATTAGAAAGAACTCCCGTGTGCTGAGAGTATTGGAGACACATTAAAAATTAATTCAAAATTACTTTAACTTGAGATGTTGATGGAAACGCAGAAAATTAATTATGCAAATAAGGTAACGAACAGATTTAAGTGTAAAACTAATAAGGTCTGCACAATGTACCAAGTTTCATTGAAATGTGATTAGAACCAAAAAAATATTAATTATTATGCTAATTAGAGAATTAATATGAACAGATTTTAACCCAAAATTAATCAGGCTGTCTATTGTCCTAGACCATTTATGTACCAAGTTTTATTCAAATGTGATGATCAATACTTGAGATATACAGTATTAATTAATTATGTTAATTATGTGATTAAGAAGCATAAATATTTACCAAAAACTAATATGGTGTATAGTCCTAGGTTCATTGAAATGTGACAGGTACTCTTGAAAAGTTTCGTTGAAATCCAATGAGTGGTTTTTAGACATCAGTGCAACAGCCATAGAACAGCAAAAAATTAACTAATTATGCAAATTAGGTAATTAATAGGCACAATTATTTATGCCAAAATTAATCAGGTCTCTGCATAGTCCTAGAATATCTATGTCGCAAGTCTCATTGAAATGTGATGATTAATACTTGAGATATCA